AATAACTTCTACTGCCACAACCAATGCAATGAGCCTCACTCCTTAAATGTACTAAAAATTGGTCCAATTATTGAATAGAACTAATGATTCTATAACAAGTATAAGTAGTAGTAATGACTTCGTGTAACTAGTAGGATTTAGGTTTTAAGATTTTATCAACTATTATTCTACTTAATAACTTTCAATTAAATATGAATTTTATTGATTTAATTGTTCAATAACTTTATATCACATGATATTTGTATATTAAATTTGGTTAAAATTGAGGAGAATATTTTTAGTTAATAGAAAAATATTGTGTAAAACTCATATTTATAAAAGAAGAAAAATAATATTAAAAATATCTAATTAAGAGAATGAAAATAATCAAACTAAAATAAATTAGTGAGTATAATGCTGTATTTTAAATTTTTTTACCATATTTATTTCAAATTATAAGAATAATTGTATATATTATTTTTAAAATGTTAAAAATTAGTGGGGGAAGTTGCCCCCTCTCTCATCTTCATATATCCGAGTTTAGATCATGAATTTTTGTGTGTATGACATAAATACACATATAACTAATTTAAATTAAAAATTAACCAGTGTTCATGCATATTTACTTTTAATATTAATTATTTAAATAAAATTTAGTAACTTATTATATTTATTATTCTCTTTTCCTGTTATACAAATTAAATGCATATATTTTCTGTTCAAAATGTTAGGATTATGAAATGCGCAAATACTATCGTGCTAGCTTTCGAAAAAATTTAACCCGATTATCTTCAGCGCAGTCAAGCCTATTTATCCGTAATGGGTCAAATGAGTCTTCTAACCCAAACTTACAAATTTTTGTATAATAAATTAAACGATAATTTATTTTAAAAATAAATTTATCTAGACTTATTTTGTTTAACAATTTATATTTTATATCAAATTTTAACTATTCAATAATTGAATTGAGTTTTTAATATATATATTACGTCTATAATTTTTTTAAAAATTAAAAATTATTCAATATTTTATTTTATTAATTCTAATTGACAAATAATTATAAAATTATTTTATATATTCAGTAAATGGAATGCAAACACAACTATATATATTGTGGATAAACAAATCACATAATGAGAAAGATGCAGGACAGAGGTGATGTACGTAGATAACTTTTAAATGCTAAGAACAATATGTTATAACTTTTTTGGTGGAAGCCAATATTTAATATGATATATTGAGATGTATATGTAATCTTTTGAATAAATGCAATTACATAATATTTTCATTAACTTGAGAAAAATATAAAATAACCACAAGGAGGATTCATAGGACATTATTTTACGGGTTACTTGTTGCTAGGTAACCTACTAAATAGTATGCCACCTGGATATAATATGACTTTATACTTAGAAAAGAACTTTTTACTCAAAAAAAAAAAATAGTGATGATGTTTGGAGGTTTGTAGAGTACTTTAATAAGTGGTGCACCTCATAAGTTGAAGTATCGTTAATCTTTGGAATTTTCATCTGAACTTATCAGAGTTTCTTGCATTGACTAGTTAACATAATTTTCTGTTGATTAAATCAATAAAATGTCTCTTCTAAGGTGAACTAAATGTGAAAAGTATAAGTTGAAGTATATCTAAATACTTGCGATGTGTTTTTGAGTTTTCTGCTCCCCTCTGACCCTCCCCTATAACTACATTTAATCTTGATTAAATACTTATTTTGGTCCCTTATAATCTTATATTTTTTTTAAACAAGTTCAAATAAAAAGTATGTGATGCTGATTTGACCAAGTGAGGATTAGTCAAATGCGTACAAGATTTTTTTAAGAAAAGATATACAATAACATATGCCATTTAAATAGAGGCATCAAAGGATTCCGCTAATACAATCCGTGTATTAATCATGATATTGCACTACGTAAAAATGCCAAAGCTAGACTTACTATTCCAGACTACATTAGAATAGACTCTTCATAAGATGGAAATTGCACTAAATACATTGACATCTGTGACTAAGGAAAAATTTGAACATAAATAAATATATTGCCTCCTTGTCTCCTTCATGCTATCCTTTTGTGAATTGGATTCTAAACATACGTACCATGGGTTGCATGATCCTATAATACTAATATTTTGTATCAGTTGATACTACCATAATATATATAGCTAATGGGTAAGCTATTATCTCGTCTATTAGCTAATCAATCATTATAAGTAAAGGTAACCACTTCAGTTGAGGCTCCATATTCCATGTTATTGATATTTTTTTTTAACTTTAATTAAAATTATTGAACTTAGTTTCCATATTGTAAAACGATGCTTCATCTTCTTACTTTGTAGTTGAAAAATCACTCATTCACTATGTTAAAAAATGTGTTTCTTTGCTATTGCTATTTGTTCATGACACTAATTTTCTGGTAGATAAAAGTTGGAATGTATTTGATCATTAAACATCAATCCCAAGCAGTATTTAGGTTGAATTCTCTTGTTTGGAGAATCTGTCGGTTTTTCAATGTTTGAAGTAAGCATAGCATAGCATATTCAAGCAAGGGTGTCAGTTTTCCAATTACGAATTATTGCTTGGGTTTTATCTAGAGGAAAGGACCAGCTAGTGAGATGGTATAGATCCATAATTTAAATCTCATCTAGTGTCCGCTTTTCACTTACTTTTTCTGTTACTTAACTTTTCTTGAGTATAAGTACTTGAAAGCACTTGATCTTTTTTCCTTCACGTTTCTTGCAATCTCATTTGTATTTTGTTGAAGGAATCATCTACAAACAACAAAGGGAATTTTGACCAAATGCTTGTTTATGGTATGCTGCAACCTTCTTCGTGATATTCTTTCTTTTTACATGGTTGGTCAAACAATTGTGTTCGTGCGAACCTTTTCAGGAGCTAATGCACAGAACCATTCTGTCAGAGCCATTCCTCAATCTTCGGTACCTGGAATGCCCGTTGTGACAACGTTTGCAACCAATCTTAATATCGGAATGGACTTATGGAATGCATCTCCTGAAGCTGCAAAAATGAGACACAATCAATCTGCTGCCACAGGAGCGGTTACTCCAACCATAATGGGACGTGAAGTCGCACTTGGTGGACAGTGGATACAAATATGATTTCTAGTTTTGTTTTTCTTAAGATTGTTCAGAGCATGTATTATTTTATTTTCGTAGTTAACATTTATCATATTCATGCTTATTTTAATAAACATTGAAAACATTTTCGTTTTGGTGATACAAACTAGAAAGTATTTCCCTTGCAACTTTGCATTCTTTTAGTTCCTTTTCCTTTCCCCTATTAGTTTTTTAGGACGAACGTAAGCTGAAAAGACAGAAGAGGAAACAGTCTAATAGAGAGTCAGCTATGAGGTCAAGACTACGCAGTACTTTAGAGATTCTACTTCACGCTCCCTAGTCCCTTGTATAAGTGTGAGAGTAAGCCTTGTGTGGTCCCTTATTGCTTGATTTTTAAGACTAGGAAACTGTCTTTATTTGACTATATTCGATGCTTACCATTTTACAACATTTGGAAATGTTCTGCATTTCTTGTTCCAACCAGGCTGAGTGTGAAGAGTTACAAAAGAGGGTGGAATCGCTGGGAAGTGAGAATCAAACTGAGAAGAGCTTCAGACAGTATCTGAAGAATGCAAGAAACTTTATAAAGGTAATTTCCCTGACCATTCTGCTTTCAGAAGCATTAACGCTGTATTACGAAATACAAAGTCCATGTTCTCTTGTACAAAGATGGAGCTTTCTCTACCTTCTCCTCTTTAGCAGCATGCGGTATCATCTTTAGAGACAGTAGTGTCAACTTGGCTGGTTGCCTAGCAGAGATAGTTCTGGCCAAATCAGCACTGGAAGCAGAAATTTTGGCCATTATTCATGCAGTTCAGATCGCTCGGAGTCATGCATGGATGTTGCTATGGATAGAGACAGACTCGCTCCTAGCCATCAGAGCCTTCTCTTACCCTTCTTTAGTTCCTTGTACTTTGTATGTTTAGTGGTTGAACATGTTACACCATATTAGACAGATGAGGCTTCATTTCTCTCACATTTTAAGAGAGGAAAATGGATGTGTTGATAGTCTAGCAGGTTTTGATCTTAGACACTTTGTTATCATTGGTTGCTATATGTTCTATCTTGTATCATGATTGCTTATTCTAGAGACAGTGGAGGTCTTCCACACTTTAGAGTCTCTTAGGATTGGTAATGACAGACGTTTGTACTTGTATTTCTTTCTTTTCTTTATTATTTAGTATATATTTCTTTCTTTTCTTTATCATTTAGTGCATTTTTGATATGTTGCAGATGATTAGTGTGAATTGAGGTGCTAACCTAGTTAAGATCTCTTTTCTACATATATCTTAACATATCTACCTTTTTCAAAAAACATTGTACGAACTCAATTTACAATAACTGCTGTCTACAGGAAGAGTTGGAACGGTTATGTGGGCCAGAAGCAGTTGCTAACCTCAAATAAAAAATCAGCTTCTTATTATCATGCCAGAACAACCGCGATCCACTCCTTGAAGAGACGAATTTGTAGGTGGAATTTTTTCAGTGGCGAAATTGATCACAAGATATATATATTTTTTTTTGGTTTAATCTTTATACCATTAACATTTAATTGTCATTCCCCTTATGATCTACCCTATTATTATTGTCAAAGAAATTATAGAAATCTATTTATTCAACAATATTATTGGGCAGATCTTTTATGTGGGCCATAGCAAATAAACTTGGCCAGTTGGCCTAAACTCAAATAATGAGACTTGCATGCAATTCAGTGAGATTGCATCAAAGAGTGTCCGTCACAATGTAACTCCAGGCACAACACAAGATAGTTGTACAAATAAATACTACATAATAATTTTTTACAATTTCGTTCTTTGTAGTTATTTCTCCCTATCACGTAATTTTAAGTTCAAAAGATTATAATAATTTTCTCACAAATTTATATTGTACAAATTATACGTGTATCTTTGCATGTTGTACAATTGTTAAAGAATTATAAAAAGTTAATAAAATCACAGTAAAAACTGCATTAATCACATTAAATGTGATGCTAACCTATTAAAAATATCACTTTTAATTCTTTCATTATTACTTTAAGACACTGAATAACAATTGTCATCCTAAACTTAAAAATTAGAAAAATGCAAGGTCCCTAATATCGTTACCCTTGAAAACGCTGATAAAAAGATAACATTAGAGAAAAATAAGAGAAGTCTTTCTTATTCCTCGCAGTATAAGGGGACTCTTGGGGCAGCACTCATCCATGATTGGGGTTTTGGTCAGGTTCAGCGTCAGAGAGCACCGCAGGGTCTTCCGATGAACTGTGTTGCTGCGATCTATCTGATTCAGCAGGGCCTCTCAACGTTTGATCCGCTAAGCCACAAAAAGAATAATAAAAAATTGCAGTTTAGTAACATACATAGTTATGAGAAATAGCCACTGCAAAATAGAGAAACATAATGTCTCGCCTGATCCAGCTATCTTTACTACCATGCTCTTGACAAACTTGATCTCCGCTTGGTATGAACTGACCAGTTTGATCTGCATGTGTAACAAGTCAAATTCCACTGTTAAATACAGTTGTTCACAAAATGTTAAAAAATGATCTCTATATTTGAAAGAGAACTCAGAGAAAGTTCCCTTCTACCAGCTCTTATTTGATATTCAGAATGTAAACAAGCTATAAGGTTATTGCTGGATTTCTCCATCTTTGATGGGATCACAGGTTCTTTTTGTTAATAAAGTTAAAAAGCAATGTATCGGACATACTACTTCACAATATGCAAGACCTAAGACTCGATCAACTCGAGCTTGATGCTTCAACAAGAAGGGGCGCAAGTGGTTTGAATATAATTGTTTTGCTCCCTGTTCAAACCAATGTAGTTTATCAGCAATATAAAAGAATAGAGTTAAGGCATTAAAGGGATAAAATGTCAACCATAAAATGTTACATGTATTAAAAAGAAAGCAATATAGTGATATAAGTAACAAGAAGCAAATGCAAAACAGAAAGGTGGATAAAAAAAATGCTAGTAACTTAAAAGGGGGAAATTCCCCAGAGAATTACGAGACAAAATACTTAAATCCAAGAATCAACTCACAACTAAAAGGATATTGCAAGAGCACACGGATATTTTGCAGTTTAAAAATGCTATCAGATCTTCATCTAAATGCAGAACTTATCAGTTATTAATAATTAAGGGTATTAGAACAAATCTTTTTGAACTTTATACATGTACCAAAATTCACGCATCCTATTATAGTTTACAGAATTAGATTTACACCAAGATTTTTTGTATTTTCATGTCAAAAATTTTCTGCCCAACTTTACATGCAATTCATTAATTTTGCACATTGACTGTCTCTTTCTTTCCCAAATAGTTGTCCATATAGCATATTGTCCAAATCATAATCTCTCATTTTTCAGCAGAAGAAAATGGTGAAAATTTCAACTGCCGCAAAGAAGACATTATGCTTGTCAAAACTGAAGATTTGTTTGAACTACAAAGATATGATGACCAAAACATGGTAAAAGAAAAAGAAAATGAAGAAAAAGAGGGTAAGAACTAAGAAAGGAAATGGCACAAGGAAGGGACATAAGATAGGAACGTTAAACAAAAAATGTTCCAGACAGGTCAAAAACATCATTATAGAATCCACCTAATTCTTAGTCTCTATAGAACTCACACTGGTAGGTGGAAGTTGAAGCCAAACAAGAAATGCAAACTTCAGGTGATAGTACATAGGACACCTGCAAAAATAATTAACATTACAAGGGATTTAGTTCATCGAGTCTGCAATAACTAATAACCCAGATAAAAAAAAAATACTAACAGCCATAAAAAAAAAAGGGAGATGGAATCTTGTTAACTAGAAGGTAGTAAACTTTATCATATAGAGAAAAAGAAAAAAAAGGTAGAACTTCGAAATCAAAGGGCCCTACAGGCCCTATACAACTAACTAAAATGGCTTAGGATGTGATGACTATACCAAGAAATAAACTTGTCAGTGAATACTTCAACGAGGCTGAACGAACCATAGGCTGCAAAAATAAAAATAAAAATGCAGAAAAAAAATCATAATTAAAATAATACAATAATATGATTTATGTTTATACATGGTAATGCAAAGAGATTGAAAATATGTGGGGGGAAGCATGTCAAAAACAGTGCTGTCAAATTTGTGCGGATCATTTGATCCACAATTCAATAAGTTGTTTCCTCCCTCACAAGTCATGTCAAGCTGGATTACTGATGCAGGTGGAGTGGTTCAGATCATCATCTAAGGCATTGCATCATTTGAGTGGTGTGCAAAAACACACCATGGGTGCAAATTGGGTAGGTCAGGTCACACAACCCAGTGTAAAAAAGATATATGCATATTCCTAATTGCTATGCCTATGGCCTAAGTCATACTCAACTATCTCTGCCACTGGTTCCCTCCCTGTTTTCTGTTGCTGCCTCACTCTCTTCTCTCGTGCTTCTCTGTGCAGCATGCTTGTGTCTCTTTTTCTTTTCTGGTAGTGTTGTTGCTGTGTGCTATAAGGTTTTTTTATCTACTATTCTTTTTATGCATAGGGGTGTGTGTGTGTTTTTAAATATAATTTTGCGTTTTAGTTTAAACTTATGATTCATGCTATGATCCAACAATCCAAGACCCCCTTAACGTTGAAACTTCTTAGAACACCAGGAACTTGTTTTCAGCTATCAGATAAGAATGTGGTGTGTTAAATGTAGGAAACAGTAATTCTTAAGGGTAGGAATCACTGCTCGTTCAATTTATGATCTAATTTTCATCATCTGATAAAAGTAATTAGTATGTTAGGTTGGGGGCCCATATGTGGTTCCTGCATTCTTCCCACAATAACTTAAAGATTCGCAAGAACAAATGTTTTCTGACAGCAACATAACTGGCTTACAAGAACTAACAAAGCATAAACTCAACCAAAAAAATGATATTAAAAGATTAGTAATTTGATTCTGTCAAGTCAATCTAAAACAAAAGTGTCAACATAATGTGTAAATCATAAATTGGCCAGCTTACATACATCTTGTAATCCTGCTAAGCAAGATTATAATGAAATGTTTCTGAACTAGCTTTATTGCCATCATGCAGCAAAATATGCAAGATAAAACTATAATATTATATCAGAAGGTTGATTAGGTGTGGAAACTAGTAAGAATCTTTCATGCTGTTTTTTTATTATTGTAATTTTTTAAACAAAACAAAAAAACAGTAACAGTAAACCTTCCCACTCATTAGCAGTGTCGGATAGCCACAACATGAATCAAAATCATGCAGTCACTTAACATAATTTCCATTTTTTCATCTATTTCAGAGTCTCTAATATAAGGATTAGTGAAAAGAGAACAAAAAAGAACAAGTTAGGCAAATTGGTACCTGCCCAGTATAGAAGACACTTATTTTGAGCATTTTGATCTTTACTTTCTATTGCCTTGAACGTAGAGTACACAGGCAAAGCAACTCCCACAGTGCAGCTGCAAAATCAGAAAGGTCAACAGTTAAACAACAATTTTAACCACAAACTACCTCAAAATCATAACCGGAAATAGTAAAACAGAAATACTTTACCATGCTGTTCGAATTACAACGTTGGATCCAAGAGGACAAAGGAGCAAACGGAGTCCAACCTGCACCAAATAGTTCGCACATCAATCTATGCATAAATGACAAAAATAAAAGAATTAAAACCCTAGATGAACCAAAACATTGAAACAAAATGACGAAAGATGAATAAGAGAAAAAGAAGATGGATGCGAACTTCGCTTGTTATGTTTGATCCGAGGAGAGCCATTCTAATTCCCAAGGCACCATTCCCTTCGCTTCCGACATGCTATGTAAATTTGGACGAAGCTTATATGTTTTTGGCTTTATGCTAACCGTCAAACACCGAAAAAATATGAAGAGAGGGAAAAAAAAGGCTCCGATAAACTAAAACAGGTCCGGCCCAATAAAATAACGGGCTCACACCCAAACATCACACGTAGGTTTTCTCTGAGAGACAGAATTAATTTAGATTTCTATAATATATGTCTATAACATTATAATACTCTATATTTATATCTATAATATCAAATAAAAAAAATTTCACATTTGATGTATATATTTTGTGGAAAATTTTATAACTATATTTTAAATTATTATGTCTCTCCAGTATTTTTTAAAAACTATTCTTATAATTACAATTATTTAAAAAAAACTTTTCAAATTTTCAAATTATTAACCGTTTATTTAATTTTATTTATATTTTAAAAAAATATAAAGAGAGGCACCGTCAATTTAAAAAAAAACAATATACGGAGGCATTGTCTATTTTTTTAAAAATAATATATACAGAGACACTATATATTAATATATATATATATATATATGAAATATTTTATTCAGTGTTCATGTTCTCCTGGACCTTTTAATCCTCTTAACTAATATATTTAATTATTTTATTTAAAATAAAAAATAAAAAACTAGATTTTTTTCTTATTTTTTATAATAAAGACATAAAATATCTCTTTTTCACTAGTGTAATATGACAATGTTAAACTGTTACAAATATGACTATTTTTTATTTTAGTTTTTGTAAAAAATTTGTCATTCTTAGATCTTGAGATATTGCTAATATTTTTTAATTGTTATCATCAAGTCTAACTGGTTTAATGTTGATATAACTAAAAAAATAAACAAAAAATAAACAAAAAATATATTAATTAAAGTAATTAAAATAATAAATACTAATTTCAAATTAATATAACTAAATTATTTTTACCAATAAAATCACTATATATAATTTATTTTTATAATTTTTTAATATATCATGAACAATGACTTTTTTAAATATTGTTCTTACTTTTAATTGACTAATTTACTTTTTACATTGTATTATATATATATATATATATATATATATATATA